CTCTAATCAAGGCGCTGGGGCCGGGTCTGCTCCTCATTAACAGGGAGTGTTGCTCCCTTCGCTTCCCAGAGCTCCTAACAGCGACCCCCTGACCCCCCCGCCTTCCCGTTTATTGTGGGCTACAAGTGCTGGTTCTCCCTCCAAATCCGCAGCTCCTTAACCCTCTGAACCCCTCGGCCCGGAGTTTGCAGGACTCCTGTGATCAGCGGCGGCAGGTTAATCAGGCAGAGCAGGGGGGCTGGGGGCGAGCTCCCCCTGGCTGGGGGGGGGCTGCAACCTGAGCCCCTTCGGTAGCTGCGCGGTTCCTCCCCAGAGCAACGCGGAGAGGCCCTGGTTGTCCCCCTTTGAACTCGGTTCAATTGGGCAAAGGCGGGGAGGGAGGGCGAGGTAATTGCAGCCTGGCAGGGGAAATCCCTGCGAAGCTCGGCAGTGCTCTTAGAGGGTTTGTTTGGGGAGGCAGGCGGGGGCAGCTGCCTTGAGGGGGGAGAAGGAGGTGGGGAGCTGCCCCTTAAAAAAAAACCAAGCGAGTTTCTGGCGTCTTCCACTGCCTGGCGGTAGGCAGATATCCAACAGGTGAGGTTGTAGCCCTCTGTCGCCAGACAAGCCAGGTGTTTTCACTGGTTTAAGTTTTGCCTGTCTAAAGATCAGGAATAGGACTGGGGAGGGATTCGCCTCCCAGCTGCCCCTTTTCACGTCTGCCGATGGCTGGGCTTGTAGGACACCCGGCTCAAACTTAGTTCAGGTGATCTGGGTTTGCTCTGACAGGCTGGGCTGAAGCTTGTCCCAACCACCACCTGGGCAGGGCTCGCACATCTGCATAGTGTGCAAAGGTGGCAAGGTTAGAGGGCCAGGGTGGGTGGGGGTGAATGGGTTGGACTGGGCTGAAGCTTCCGGGGAGGGGGGGCTTTCAGCCCACCCCTCTCTCTCTCTCTCTCAACCTGGTGCCAAGCAGGGGAGAGGGCTCCCCCTGCACTGATGTCTTCAGTTGTGCCTGAGTGCACGCACATGGGTGTATGTGAGTGTCTGTGTCTGTGTCTGTGCAGGGGGAACAGCAGGTTCTGCAAAACTGGAAAACCACTTTGATCTCTCTCATTACCCAGCACAGGGATCTGAGGCTTTCTCGCTGGGCCAGAGAGAGTCGCTGGGCAGTTTCAGGGCAGGGAAGCTCTGTGTGTTCAGAACTGGGGTTTCATTGCAGAGGCTGATCAGACGCTTGTACCTTCTCTGACTGTGTCCAGACAACAGAGCTAACTCACCCAGGGACAAACCAAGTGGTTGCCTTCAGACAACATGCTGAGTCTGGTGGGGTTTAACCTGGATGCTTCCTTTGTGGCTAAATTATTATGTGCATCCAGGGGAGTTTAGGGTTCAGCGTGCAAACGTGGAACTCAGATGACTTCGGAGGGGCAACGGGAGGGTGGACACCACCACAGGATCCTGGCTTGCTTGCTGTCTGGAGCCTAGTGACCTCCGGTCTATATATTTGTGTACAAAATGTCTTGGCTGCTCAAAGGTTTGAGGAAGAGGCTTACATGGGCAAGGGCCCTTGAATGCTTTAAGATCAGAAGGACAACCATGTTCTCACCAGCAGCTGGAGGCACTCCTGGACTTCTCGAGCACCTTCACCGCCGTGAGCTGTTGAGCAGCTCGAGTTTACCAAAGGTTGTCCTCACATCTCAGGGCTTGCAAAGCCTCTCAAGGGATGACATTTTTGGAAACCTCAAGAGCAGAGCTCCTCTATCGACTGCTGCAACCCCTGATTTGAGGATCCAAGGAAAGAATGCCACCAGAGCTAACAGCCCATTGCTCGGCCTCTGTGAATGATGCGTTGCTCTCCTTGTGTGCAGAACAACTCCTGGATCCGAGACCACGAGGAGACCGGATCAACACCCTCAGGGACGCCGGGGCCCTCCAGCGGTGGGATTGCCTCCCAAAGTGGCGACAACTGCAGTGAGCAAGGTGAGGGGGGTGCAAGAGAGGTGGCGGGGGTCCTGGATTGTCACGATGGCAGAAGCTGGGGAGAGGACGTTTTGCACAATGTTCACGGGGGGTCAGGATAATGTTTAGCAATTGCACGGAGCAGAGGAACCTCACGAGAATAGACAATCCGGGCGCTGGAAGGCACCGTTCTTCCCAAACGTCCATCCAAGTGCAAAGTGCGTCATGGTGGAGATTTGCTTCATTTCTGTGATGACACCAGTGATGTCATTTATGTAACGACATAATCGTACAAATGACATACAGGGAGGCCGATGATGAAATTTGTATCATTTACGGAAGGGTCTTGGCATGCCAGGGCTGTAAACGTAAATTGCCTCCAATGCAGGATTCTTTTACATGCTGCGTTCCTGTCACTTGGCGTGGAAAGGCTTTGATCTTCTTCAGGGGGTGTCTGGATGGAAATTTTACCACCGCGCCCAAAATTTGCTGATTGGGAGGGTTGGTCTTCTATTTTGAGACTTCAGCGCCCCAGCAGTTCTATGATGGTTATCTATCCCTGACTGTTTTAACAGTGACCAGGTGATTTTTTTGCGGGGGGGTCTTTTTATTAAGTCACCTTGGGTGGAGAACAAGCAGGGTGCCGGGGTGCTATTCTGCATTGGGTCTCGATGGGGCCTGCCTTGGACCCTTGCATTTTTCTTCACCCAGTTCTCTTTCCCCTTCGAGGAGTGACTTTGCTCTAACTCGATTCAGAGATCGCTTCCTATCTTTGGGCACGTGAGGCCGAATCAGAGGCAGCGTTTTCTGCCTTTGCTCTGTACGGGGACGAGGCCTCTGATCTCCCCCCCGCCCCGAACAAGGACGTTGGGCTTCTATGGGAACACATTGGTAGAGTTGGCCCAACCGATCAGGCGAGGTTGAAACGTGGTTGTGTAATTTGTGATCCAGGATGCTGTGGACAACATTTTGCTTGCCTCCGTATCTCTGGCAAAGCTGGTCATCACCTTCTGTGGACTTCAACTCCCAGAATTCCTCAGCCAACATGCGTGGACTTCAACTCCCAGAATTCCCCAGCCAGCATGGCTGGCTGGGGAATTCTGGGA